TTTTTTAAATTAAAATAATACGTAAAAGTACATAAATTAAACTATATAATATTTTTCAATTTATTGAAAAGTGCACGTAAATGAAAACCTGACAATGATCAGCTAGTTATACTTTTGAAATTATGTTAAATAATTTTTTCATCGGCCAACTTCAAATACTTTTTTAAAATGAAAATAAACAAATACCACAATATGATTGAATTATATACTATATAAACTTCATACATAATACTCTATTACAATTCAAAAATTGAGTGTAAATTTAATAAAATTTATTAAAACTTTGCAAATTCATTTTTGTTTCCGCATTAAAAAATTGCATTCCCTAAAGAAATCAAATACATCATAGGTGCTTTAAATGTTAATAGATCAATGGTTTTCAACTTGTGCCCCTGCCCACAGTATCTGATTATATTATATACAGCGTTTTTCGAAATTAATCTTTTTATTAGACTTTTTGGTTTATTATATTTCACAGATATCAACGCATACAGATTATGTTATATTAAAGGAGTTGGTTTTAAAGTACAATAGTTAGAGCACACACTAAGACTATGCAGCATTAATAATTAAATTAAAAGTAATACACTCAGGAAAATAATTTGATTATTTAACAACATTTTATCTAAATCTCAGATCAAAATATTCTGACTCGACGCATCATGTTGGTTTAATCATACCACATATTGGTTTCTATATCTTCTTCACCACATGAACTAAAATTTTTCTTATAAAATGATCAGGTCAATTTACCTAGTATGTGGTTAGAACATATTTTTCTGACTCTACTTACAGATAAACTCTCTCTTTACAAACAAAAAATGCTCGTTATCACAAATCAGGTACAACACACCAGTCAATGTTACCGTTACCGATAAACAGTACCGTTTACAAAGGAAAAAGTCCGATATAATAAAGTCTGTGTATCTCTCAATAACAATTACTATAACTCAAATTCATGAGTTGAGTATATCGATTGAACATACTCCTTATATAGTCGATCTATCTTCTGGTAACTAATGAATTCTCAATATATTAAATTTTTGTCTTTTACTATATAAATTGACATCAGTTCTTATACGACATACTAAATATTTTTTCAGTTCGCAGTAATTTTTGGGTTTCGAAACACTGGCTTGAGTAACATAAAACTAATATCCCTATTAACTTTAACTAATTACGACTATAACTAATTAGGATGTGAACTGTTTTCATCGTTAATTAGGAACTCATCATCAAAAAAAAAAAATCGTGTAACAAAATTACTATCCCTATTAAGTTTAACTAATTAAGACCTGATTAATTAGGCATTGATGTGTGTCCATCGATAATTAGAAACTCATTAACGAAATATATTCAAGGCATTGTTAAGCAGGAATATACTTTCTGTTTTATTAGAAACGTGATCGATATAAAAGATATATAACATTCCCATTATTTTGTTCTTCTGTTCTATGCTACTATATACCAAAGCCAAATAGATCAATAGAAATTTTTCTTTTTAATCTTCACAAACATTACATTTACTATCTATTAAAGTACACTCCATGCTTACATTTTATTTTTCCTTATTAATGGACTCAACATTGTTCTTTGAAAGTAACAAAGTACTTCAATTTATTATATTTAATATTGTATCTTACTGCTGTGCGAAACATACTAAAAACTTTTTATTAAATTTTGTGTAAATTTTAATTAAACAAATTCTGCACAGTAAGGACAATGCTCGATATTAACTTGCATTTGTCTCTTCACTTTATGCATAAAAAAGTATGTAATTTACTCACTGCTGTCTTCTATCTCAAAAGGTCATATAAATTATATTAAAATTGTATGTGCAACAAACACTTTGCGAATGTTAATTAAATTTTTATTAAAGTTTTATTTAATTTTTTTATTTTTCGTTTTTTTATTTGCAGTCACATTTGGGCATTGACAATTTTCTGCTGAACAACGACAATGGCCAACAATACTCCTATTATGATACTCAGGACAATTTTAACAGCAATACGAATAACAACCACAACAACAATAACAATAACAACAATGAAAATGCTATTAGGAGCAAAAACAATAACGATATGATTACTGGCAATGTCCTTAAAATGAACTCAACTGAATCTGGCACCCATTCACCATTGTCCATTGACAATATTGATGAAATCAATCAAAGCGCTGAACTGCAATGTCTCCTACAAGAGCACATTGAAACATCAACCTTTGGAAATACAAGCGACTTCTGCTTTACTCAGTTTGATACAATCCTTTGCTGGCCACGCACACCGCGTGGAACGCTTGCTGTTCTACCCTGCTTGGATGAGCTTCAAGGAATTCAATATGACAGTTCACGTAAGTAATTCAAAATGGTATAAAAGGCTGAATGCCCATTCTCTTGGGGTTATAACGTATCAGCACTTCGCTTTTTAATACAGTAAAACTAAAATGACATAACAAAAACTACAACAGACACAACGTCAACAACAATAGCAAAAAAAAAATTGTTAAATCCTGAATAATACTGAACCATTACCAACAAAGGCAGGAGTAATTGGAATGAAAACAAAATAATCGTAAGAGCAAATTGTGCGTACCTTTTTTGTATTGAATCATATTCAGTGCCAGTATTTCATACTTAAATGGGTCTGCCTGTGGACTCAACAAAAACTTTAAAAATTTCAATTACTCAGATTTATTTTTTTATAGATACAAATGACAATCATATCACTGAAGGCAATAAAATACAAGTTCAGCTGCACTTTATAATCCTTTTCATTGCATTTATTTGCATGAAATATTAATTTTTGATTTTTAAACAATTAAATGAATTTTTATTAAATTATAGCTATTGAAATGTTTAATTGAATTTCGTTAGTACTAATATAACACATTAACTATATAGCCTATAAAATTTACAATAGCTCTTCTTCTTCTTCTAAATGCCTTGTCCGCTTCGAACGTTGACTAGCATAACTGATATTTTTGTTTTGTCCCCAGCTTCACAAAAAAGCGATCTTGTACTTTTGCAAAACAAATGTCTTAGATTCTTAATACACGATATCTTTCTTCTTCCCGGGCCGCGTCTTCCAACATCCGTAGCCAATAGCTCTTAACTTCAGTGTTTGATTTTGGTATACCTAGGTTTACCACTCAGCAAATTATAATCCTTGCTATGAGAAGAAAAATCTTTGATCACACATAAATTTCGTATTTTAATCTCATTTCTTGTTATTTACCAAAATTAGCATATACCACAATAGCAAAATAATTAAACTTTAAATATACTTATATGCAACTTCACATAAATATGAGATATAAAAATCTAACCAAAACAGTCAATCAAAAAAAGTTAAACGGTTTTAATTTCTTCAATATCGATATTTTTAAAAATTTAATTAGATTGAAGCAATTAAGTTCAAAATAAATTTTTTGCTTTTCAAAAATTTAAAAAGAAAATACACCATCTTATTCAAAAGCATAGAAGAGCTTTAAAAATTTATCAGCACAAAATATTAGAAAGTCTCTCTCATGTATAAAATGTTTAAAATCAACGACTTCATACAAAATTCACCATATCACCGTGTCAAAAATGACACGACATTCGACATATGTCGGATTAGATACACAAACACAAAGCGTTATTTAACAACAATGAAGTTTTAAGAAAAAAAAAATAATTTTGGGATGAAAAACAAAGTATAGAAAACAATTGAATGAAGTTGAGAAGATTATTACTGATAAAAATTTAAATTTAAAGTTTAAAATATTTCCTTGAATTTCAACTCAAAGAAATGAAACACCGTAACACTCAAAAAAATACCATTAAGAACTAAGTAAACACTTTAAAGCACTTAAACTAAGTAGACTCGATGAAACTGATAAAATTAGAGGATTAAAAAAGAAACATCCATCCATTTATGAAGAACCCCGTTTTTTTGAACATATTAGCAGTGTGGTATATGTTACTACGGAGGTTGGTTGCATAATATAATGTTATCAGATAAAATCAGATGCATATGCAGAAGTTATAGAATTATGAAATCCTATTTTATTAAAACACTTAGTTTAGGTTTTAGAAAGCTTAAAATCTTCTCTTAAGTATTTAATTTTTAAACAGATTTACTTTTCTTAAAGATTTCATTGAAATAAATTTTAAAAAAATACTAAAATAATTAGTGAACGAAAATAAACATTACAGAATTGTAGTGTACTGCTCATGTGCGAAACAAATCAAAAAATTTTTAGTGTTTGTGTTTATAAACTCAACCACAAACAGTACACAAAAAAAGAAAGCGACATGTCCGAAACACTAAAATAGTACACTGTTTCCGACATCTCATATTAAATTTTTAATATTCTTGTTGTGTTCTTTTCCTGAAGGTAGTGAACCTTTTAACGATCTTTTCACGAAGGTAGTGTATTTTTAGTGTACTTTTAGTGTTTTTTTAGTGTCTTTTTAGTGTATTTTTAGTGTTTGTCGACTAAAACGATTTAAAAATGTTTTTAATGTGCTTTGTTGTTGCTTCGTTTGCATAAGAGGAAGAAAAAAAGTTTGTTTGAATTTGTATTGCATGTATTTTGTTTCTGTTTTATAATAAAGATATTATATATGCATTTATTGTTACATATTTAATGTTTGGGGATGTATTACACAGATATAATATTTTATTTCGAATGCGTTCATAAGCACAAACTTTAAACATTTCTTGATATGATTAGAAATTTATTTAGTGTACTGTTCGTGTAGAGTTTTTTAACAAAAATAATAAATAGTACACTATCTGTGTTACTTTGCAGTTTTTTTTCGTTTCCTGAAAATAAATGCCTCAATTATAATATTCCTTTTTCCTTAAAATCTCTTATTAAATGTATATTCTTAATTCATCTGTTTTGTACTACCAACATGAATATCAATTTTAATTTTTATAAATCAATAGTCGCAGGCCTTTGCAGCTAATACTTTTTTTCAAAATAAAATATTTTTTTATACCTATCTACTAAATCTTCTTCTTTTTCTTTATAATAGGATGTATTATAGAATTTGTTAAAACAATTGAATTGAATATATTTATGTGAAATTATGACATTTTAAGCCTTAACATCATGGGAGGAAATTAAATCTTGTGAGTATGCACCGCGATAAGGAGCGTTTAATAAATACTCAACTTGTGATATTCTACTATTATCAACACGATCATTGTCATATAACTGGATGAAGTAGTTTATCCATTCTATAATAGATATGTTGGTTAAGCTAATGTAGTCATTTATAGGCTTCTTTTGATTCTTTGATTTTTTGCGCGCCGTATAAGTCGTGTTCCAAATCTGAAGTGAAACATTCCCAATGTTGCCTTTTGACAGTAGCGACCTTTTTGTTACCTTTTGCCGCATTTACTCAATTTCTCACTGCCTTGTAGGTTTGTAGGTGTTGTAAGTTATTTCACCATGTCTATATTGTAAATCAGATCTTCGTTTTTCTTCCACCAATTCTTTTACTGTATCGCAAAACTACGGCTTGTACAGTGTTCTTTTGAAGTTAGGTTTTATTATTCACTTTCCCAGAGATTCAGTTGTTGCATATAGTACACTTGGTTTTATTTTATTCCTATGTACTAAATGATTATATAAATATTAATAAAATTATATCCTAATCTCAAATTAAAGCGCTTAGCTGCCATTCTTTTAAGTTCGTTTCAAAATTGTTAATTGGTTTAAGAAATAATGCGATGTCTTAGCCAGCAATTAAAGAATGGATAAACCAACCATCTTGCATCTACATTTGGAAAAAAATTATGCATTTATTATTAAATTGGCTTAAGATATTTATTTCTTTATCCCTTTAGGAAATAAAAAATTTTCTTGACTTCTGTTTCTTTTATCATATATTACTATTGAATATAAAATGCTAAAAATTTCCTTAAATACAATACGTTACTTGAAGATTCATAAGAACACATATATAAGAAAACATATATATTTTTTTTGTATATTTGTTTGTGTAATGTACAATAGCATAAAATAAAATCAAAATAAAAGCTAATAGAGATGTATTTTACCGTTTATAAGATTTGCAAAGGACAAACACACTTACGAGACATAAAGTTGAAAAGAAGCAATAAAATTTCTCCTTTAAGAACTTTCAAATGCCAGCAGGCAACGAGAAGTGCAATTTAAAATAAAAAATTTCTTGTTGTGTTATATGGAAAATTTTGAAATGCATTTCAAAGGAAAGCAGTGCACTACTTCAACTCTCCGAAGGATGCCATTTCACACCGTACAAATTGGAGAAGTGGTCTTGAAAAAATTAAAGTAAACAATTTAATAAATAAATTTAGGAAATTCTCAAAATATGCATAGAAACCAATACTTGAAATATTTAGGAAAAATGCAATATATTATGTACATAAATATGCATATAAATTTACATATATATATATACATGTATATATATAACATGTGAAATACTGAATTTTAATAAAAATTGCTTACAATATTTCTAATATAAAAGTGTAATATGTGCTTTTTTTAAACTTGTAAATATTTCATACTTTTCCAAGCATTTATTGCAACAAGACCGCTTTCACTTTACTACTGCTTCAATATCCTTAGTGAAAAGACACCCACTTTGAGAAGGACCTATTGATAAATATTTTCGTACAAAGCACATAAGTTTTCAGTTTTATTTTTTCGATCTGTGAAATATTGCGGAAAATACTTGAACTTGTGTAATACATTATTAGAGCACGAGTACTGAATTTAATTCCTTTTTTTTTGTGTTGTTACATATAAAAATATTAATAGCAATAGTGTTATAAGATGAATTTCAGTTTAAAAAATTGAAAATAAAAAATGCAATATCGATAAGCAGTTTTAAATAAGGAAGTAGAAGTACTCGCTTCCAAGAAAGAAAGCTGCAACGATTTCACGTAATAAGAACAATATAATTTATAATTAATTTATGTTTAATAAATTGTTATTTAATTTTTACTTATAAATACTTTTATGAGTTTTTCATAGAATTTTTAATTATACTTGTTAGTAACACAGACTTAAGATAACAGCATAGATAACTTCACATATTATTATAAATATATGAAGTTAAGTTATATTAATATTTATAAATATTAATAATAAAAATTATTATTTTTAAAAATAATGTGTGAAGTATAATAATACTTAAAGTATTGAGGTTAATGTGGCGGCTATAAACAGTAGTAATAACACATCACAGCTGAAGTCAAATAAAAGTATTGAACCAATGGATAACACAGTCAATACGTAATCTTACTGTTCTTCATGAAAAGATCAACTGACGAAAGTATATTCAAGAAAAATTTACCCGACTTAATAATCAAATACAGGCCAAATACAGGGCAATATCAGTTAATTGTTGAAAATAAAATATGAATACTAATTCATTAAATAATACTAAATGTGGACCCATGAAATTCAGTTATAAAAGACATATAGTCATTTAAATATTGAAATTTTACAAAGATATAAATCTAAAACGTTTAGATATACTCAATAGACCGTGGTTTATAAAAAAATCTAATTACACTATAAAGATATATAATATAATATATATTAAAGTATATACTAATATAGTATATATTAAAGTATATACTAATATAGTATATATTAAAGTATATACTATATATATATAAAAAATATACATATATATTATAAGTTATAAAGATAGGTGCAACTCATGGTAAGGATACTGTAAATGATCGCCGGACATGGAAGTGGTTTACTTGGTTTGGAAAATTTTAAGACCTTTTAGAAAAAGCAGGCTACGCAAAATTGCTCCATGTTTTAGTATTACATGAATTAATGCAAATTAATATAATTGAGCGGATTCCCGAAATATAAATTAAACAGTAGCCAACACAAGTGATCACGACCAAAGGTCGGCGAACTTACGCAAACGACTTCAAAGTCTGGATTTGCAGCAAACAAGATTGCTGAAAGGAAACTATCTAATAAAAGTTGGTTCAGCCTGTTGCAACAGTTAATTGCTCAAAACTCAGCTACTTCAACGAAGTAATCAAGAAAAAACGACCAGAATCAGCCAACGGAAAACAAGTTATTTTTTATCATGACAATGTCAGGCCAAACATATCTTCGATGGTTGGGAAGTTTTAATGCATCTACCATTTAGGTCTTAAGCCTTTTGACTACCATTTTGACCTCTACAAAAGTCTCTTACAGAGTTTCCTTATTTCAGAGTAAATTGAATTAAATTAAGAGACATGTAGATTTTTATTTTCAATTTATCTAGTAGTCATCTATAAGTAAAATTTCGAAACTAATACCAAACATTTTGTGTTTGTTTGCTAATCATTCTAAAAGAGGTTGTGATTCGTTCAACATTTAAACCCAGTCTCTCTTTTTTAATAAAATATGATTTATCTTTTCCTAACTCTGGTGTCAAATGTAAAGGAATAGTCGAAATTGAATTAACATGATTTTTTAAAACATACCGCGGAATATTTGAATCTTCCCAACATATGTAAGTTTCGATTGAATCTAGTTTCAAAGCACGTAATGTATGTTCTAGCCCAATAAATCCTATAGCTTGAAATGTTTATCTGAACTTTAGCGGTTTCAATATAACTGGCTTTTTCTTATAACCGTTTTCACCGACAATTATTACTAGATTAACTTATTTTCAAAGCTGAATAATATTGAAGATAGAGCAATATCGACCAAAAAAAGTACAAAATTAAGGTTTTTTTTTGTATTAATTTAAAAAAAAGGTAAAAACATGTTTAAAAGGTGACAGATTATTTATATAATTTATTATATCTGTTAATTTTATTTTTAACAGAATTTATAAAAAAAAAGACTGGCAACATGTTGTTCGCTGCACGGCACTCAAGTATAACGCCAGACAACCTTCAACTATATTTTTAAATATTTTATATTTAAACACGCAACTTCACTTTAAAATATTTTAGTCCATAGCCGTGTTAGGAACCTTAACAAACATCATTAATCCATTTTAAAAATTGTTTTGATATTCTCTATAATTGTCATTATACTGGTTTTTTGGTATGATATATGTGAAATATTGAAATTCAATTAACTTTTATTTCAATCGTTTTATTTTTTAAATATGCTTTACTACTGATGTGACATAAGCTTAAATATTTAATTTATTATTATTATAATAATATCATATTATAATTAAAAATCAATTCTAAGTTTTATGAATACTAAACTCACCACGGATCCTTTTCATAGACGGTTGTATAATTTTATTATGGCACCCAAATTTATACGCAGTACCTAATACGCATTTTGCGTTTTCGCAACGTTATTACCGTGGCAAGCGAAATGCATTATGCATAATGTGCTATGCAAACCTTACACACCCATAACTATATCCGCAAAAGCATTAAACGTTAAATTACAAATACCTAAGTGATACTTGTGGATGATATCAATAGAAAGCTTTATCCATAGTGAAACTTTGAGTGACATTTTAATGGGACATTTCTCATTGTTGTTATTCAATGTTGCATATCACACGACGTTGCATTCTATATGCAAAGTAGTTTTCACATCTTCCGTTATCTAATAGAACGTTAGAGCAATGGCTTTTATTGCTATCATATTATCTATATGAGATGCATGAATGCATTAAGAATAAAGCGAATCACAAAAATGTCACAATATCGTTTTATTAGAAAAATCTTTTGCAAAGAAATTAAGTATTTAATTCAATATTCAGCATTTAGTTTAATGTAATCATAATTTGATATAAATTCAGATTTTCGAAAGCTGTAGATGTGTTTCAGAACATAATTGGTAATATTTTTGTTATTATATAAATATGATTAATAAAGAGATTTTCGAAAAGTAATAAACTACAACAACAAAAATTCTTTTTTATGTTATTTTAATTAATTAAATTTTTGACCGACCATACTGGTGTTTCCAGTGTTAACAAATACCCATCATCAAAGGTCTTGAAAATAGTTTATGTATTTAAATATTCGTAAATAAATTTTTAGACTGCAAGTACGAGGAATCGAACTTGTGCCCTGCCAATTTTATTAAAAGCTAAAAGCTACAATAAATTAAAATCTACAAAATATTATAAAGTTTTAGCTGTGAAATAGTATATATAACTCACTTAAATAATAAATAAATAAGTAGTTAGTGTCACTTAAAAAATAAAAAGTGACAAAAAACTTGGAACTTGAGCATTAAAAGTTTGTACAGCCTTGACTACTTGTGAAAAAACACATTAGTCATTGCTTCTAATTTGACATGTATGAGTTCTAAGCCTAGCACTTGCACTCCAAAGAAATATAAACTAATAACTAATTAAAAAATTCGAATATTTCCTAAGACCACTGTAACAGCGTTGTATGGTGAGCCAAGTTTTTGTTGTTGTCTTTTAATTTCTATTCGAACCCCTCTAAATTTTAAATAATTTTCATCGGAATACGCGTCCCTTTCATTAAAGAAAAATTAACGTTAAAATATATAAATAATTTATTGTGTTTAAAACTCTATTAAGTTGTCCAAAGAGGAGTAAATAAATGCATGTAGATATACACAATATTATAATATGATATACATTTAAAAAACATAAAATAAAATATTTATAAAGACACATTTAAATATTAACAGTTTTCCGTACAAAACAATTTTAACACTTCGAACAAAAAGCATTTTTTGTTCTACCAAAATGTTGCTCATACGTACCGCAGCACCCGAAGCATTTAAAATTTGACTCATTTGTGTGCATATAACAGCTTAATTAATATGTTAACAAGTGAAAGAGTTAATAACATATAATTCATTAAACTCACTTACACAAGAGAGTGTGCACAGTGCATATGAATACAAATCATACGTGTTCATACAGTAAAATATATATATTTATAACAGCAGAAATTTCTTTGAATGACTCTTCTCGCTATCGAGCGGTAATGTAACATATACTTTTAACATAAGAAAATATTTAATTTGCTATGTTAATATTTTTTACATTTAATTTTTTTATACATTTTTTGCAGAGAAATAAAATTTGCTCTTTTTTTTTTTGAATACATTACAGAAAATGCCACACGGTTTTGTCATTTGAATGGAACCTGGGAAAAATATACAAATTATGATTCTTGTATGCATTTGCCTGCACCGTCACCTGTTCCTGAATTTGAGCCAATTGTCGAGCTGCCCACCATAATTTATTACATTGGATACACTATAAGTTTGGTTTCGTTGACATTGGCCATAATTGTCTTTGCGTATTTCAAGTGAGTTTTATGTTCTATTCTATATTTTAGTGTGCATTTACAAAAACAGAATGCATAAGTTTAAATGCAATATTTTATTTGATTTATGAATATTGCATCATTTAAGTTTTTGCTTATATTTTACATTTGCATATAAAAGGTACTCTTAAAAAATATATAAATCATTTCAATTTTGCTAAATAAGATTTTTATTTAAATTAGTTACTTCATAAATGTTAATGGGTTCACCAGATGTGGTACATTGCATTTCATTGCATCATAAACCAAATACAAATTCGTCCTGCATTTAAAGTTCAACAAAATGTGTGAAAAAACGCCATTTTAATAAAGCAAATATTCTATAAAAATAAGAAATTATTACAAACGTGCCGAATTTTATTAAAAACATAAAAAAATGATACAAAAATGAAGTAATAGAACTCATGCACACAAAATAACGTGCAGTGCAAGTTTAATATTAAAATTTGACATTTGCCATTTCGATTCTTTGCAAGTTTCGCCATTCTAAAGGATAATACAATTTTGGTATATATTCTTATAACTGTAACAATGCAGTCTTGTTTAGGTTTCGTATAAAATTTTATCTTATCTAAGTTTTAATTTCGTTTTTCTGTGTCATTTGCAGACCATTGTAATAAAGTTATGAATCTATTAAGAAATATCTAACAGAACTACATTGTAATAGTTAAAATTTCTACTACGAAAATGTTATTAAGTAAATTATTAAAGACAAGAGCAGCTTAAAGTAGTAGTAACAATTTGATTGCTTAAACAAAAGTGAAACTAAACTCAAAATTTTAAAGGTCAAACTACACGGAGATTATACATGGCTCAAGTTTATAGTTTTCTTCAAACTAGTTATCATTTTTATTTATTTTATAAAAAAAATCTATTTTCTACAACCTCTTATATGATCATATTGCTTGAATATAAAGTCTCATTGTCATAGCGAAATCTGTTTTGATGTACTTAACATCATTCTGTATTTTAATTTATAGAGATTTTAAACTTTTCTACATAATATATACGTATCGGTCAAATGTGTTGTTTGTTTAGATTTATTTTAAAATTATTTATTTTAAAAATAATGCAAAGATTAATTTAGGATTTTATCCAACTTTTTTAAATATTCATTCAGTAAATATTATTATAACTAGCTGACTATGCATTGTTAAGAAGGTGCATCTGCAGTCAAGTAAACAGAACTATTATTGCTTTATACATATATAAGGTCTTATAAAACTGTTCTATTGGATAAATAAAAATTGTTTATAATTTAAAAATAAATTAAATATTAAGTATGATTTTAATGGTATGATGGTAGTGACCATCTTACTTAATAGAAACTATTGTATTTATTAGAAAAATTTCGAACAGTAATAAAGAAACAACAACAAATAAATTTTTATTTATTTTTAATTAATTGAATTTTAGGCTAACCATACAGCTGTTTTCAGTATTGACAAATGCACATCATCAGTGGTCTTCGAATTATTTCTTATACGAGTATTTCATTATTTGTAAATAATTTTTAAAGACTGCATGTACCAATGGTTAAACTCATACCCTGCCGAATTCGAAGCTCAGAGTCAGTGTTCATTAACCAATTTACCCAAATCGAAACCTCTCTATAAATTAAATTAATAAGATTTCTATGCCCTTCAATTCGTTTCATTTATTGAAAGGTGAAATATTTACTTCGTCTTATTTTTAAAACAGAGTTATTTATTGAAAAAAAAATCTTTAAAAATAAATATCTATATATTAATAAAAATAAAAAAATTATTTTATTATTTTAATTTGAAGAAAGTTTTATTTAAAAATAAATACTGCAATAAAAACACAAATCAGTACAATTTGTCATTGTTTGTTATGCAGTCTGCAAAATGAATTTATTACCTCTTTTAATAGTTTTTACATCTTCACCATTAGAAATAATCACAAATGTTATAGCAATTAAAAATTTTTTAATACAGCAATTAAAGGTGGTCACAATGATAATAAGAGATAAATAAACTATATCAAGGACTGTATAAAACCTATTATATCTCATTAATTACTTTAAGTAAAGATCCCAAGCCCAAAAGTGGAGTATTTTTATTTATTTTTATTATAAAGCAATTCATTCTAAACATTTAAAGAAATTATTTCCTATTCAAAAGACTAAATTACTTAAAGGATGTAAGTGGCTTACTTAAACCGCTTTATGACAAATTGAGAGCCGTTGCTGGTTGATACATTAGCTGGATTGTAAGATTTTGAAATAATCGTATATTGTACCCAAAAACAGCTAGCGGACATAGATGGAATCAGAAATATTTCTCTGTTAAGGCAAGTGCCCTTTGAAAAGATCAATGCATGAAAAATGAAAAGTGGGAACTAACAACAGTTGGCAGCCACAAATGATATCAACAACTTTAAGCGAAGTGACAGTTGAAGAGACCGCACACTGTATGAAAATTAAAAATTGGGGATTAACAGCATAGCACAGTTAAGAGGATGGCAGGTCGTTAGCGGGTACAGATAAAATTAGCAATTCATCTTGGTTAAGATAACTGTCCGTTGAAAAGATCGTACAGTGCATGAATATTTAAAAGTGGGAACTAACAGCATGACGCGGTTAAGAGAGATGCCATTAAATGAAATCATCGGATTCACTGAGTTTTCAGTTTGAATTCTTTAACAATAGTATTCTCATAACACTTGTGCATTTTGTGAAATTTTTTAAAATTTTATAATTATTAAATAATTACTTTTCACACACATACATTTCACATTGTTTAAATATAACAATACTATTATAGCCAAATGAAACTAATTTTTATTTTCATTTTTTCTAAAGTTCAAATTAGTGCAACACAATAGTATTCAAGATTTTAATTAACATTACATTGCCTTTGTTTTAAAACAAAAGTGTTAAGGGAACCGCAACTTTACTTAATATCCTTTGCCATTTCACTACCTTATCAGTGCCTGTACAAGCGCTCAAGGATATGTTATATCAGCGCTTTTAACTATTCGCGTTCAGTTGGTTTATTGCACAAATAAGCATTTTATTTAGACATATACGAAATGTAATAACTTTGTTTGTGTGCTTGAATAAAAGGCAAATGTGTGTGTAATACTCATACTTTTTCCATTTCTATTTCTATTTTCATTGCAAATGATACATATGCGACTTTTCAACACTTCCTTCGACATGCCAACATTCTGTGCTAACCAAACTACACGAAACCAACGACAAATACAAAAACTACTTGGCGGGTACTGTCAACGCCTTCATTTTCGCGCCAACCAGGGAATTACGGTGCTTGCGGAACTCGATTCATGCGAATTTGTTTTTCACTTATATCATGTCGGCATTACTATGGATTCTCACATTATCCGTGCAGGTATGTTCATCCTTGTATAGAATAATTTGTATGACTGTGCGTGCAGAGGGAAAGGTTCTTATTTCCCTACAGTGCGCGTAGAATTTAAGTAAATTGTTAAAGCGATTTTATATTAATTCTATTTTTTCATACCACATTTGAAATACTTTCTAAGTATTTTTAATTCAAAAAATTATCGTTTTTTTTTTGTTTGTCATTTAAGTATGAAAAATATAGGGTTATTCATTTTATGGTTCCTAAAGTAAACGTAAATAAAACTCACTCCGATTGAGATTTTGAACAGTTTTTGTTTCAATATATTGTGTGGACAACGCTATTTGGTATGAAATTAAACGCGTTTGATTTGTTTTCAACAGCTCATCTTAAAGTTGTGGATCAGTTTGAGATAGTAATCAATGACTTGTCCGCTCAAAACTGACAGAGTCCGTAACTTTTTAACGTAATTACTTACTATTAATGCTCAACACCAAGTTACTCCTAAAAAACGTATCAGTATTATACCCCGAAAAACAAGCTTACGTTTGGAAATAGTTTTCTCCTTGTGTGGGAGCGAGGCCTACTAACATCTTCGCTCTTCTTTAGGTCACACTTAAAGAAGAAATTAGGAAATGAAACTCTATGGTACATCAAATAAAAGTAAGTGCTTACAATTATTTTGCCCGCATAAATTTGGGTTTAACCACAACCACCCCGATACTCCCATTAAAGGGTCAGGACAGCGTGAAGCTGTAAGACCTGATACTCATGTTGCCAGATTTACACCTCTGGTCGGATGCCTCAATTGAAACGCACTCATTCATACTCCAAATGATATCAGGTGATGCCTACTAGATTTTAGTTGCCTCTTAAAAAAAATGCCCTACCTAGAAAATCTTCTAACACCTCTTCCACAAGGATACTAATAACTAGCAATAGCTTCGTCATAATCTGACGGTTGTTTGGTTTAGACTTTGGTGATAATTTTGCCGTTAGTTGACGGTTGTCTGTTTTCATTACTATTACGTACATTACGTTCACAATCACCTTTCATAAATAGTTTTTTGTGCGACTTTTCAAACAATAGTGTTTATGTAACCAGTCCTCAAAGTCTCCACACTGAAAACAAATCACCGTCAAAGTATAGCCAAACTATTATCAACTATTTTCACCTCCATAACCATCTTTCATAAGTAGTTTCGCGTTGCGCAAATAAAATGCGGTAAGTGTGATTTAATCTTTCGGAAGTGATAAAAATTTATCGCCATTTCATGAAAGGTAATTGTGAATGTAACGTGCGTAACAGTGGTGATTTTGTTGTCACCTCTCTCTAAATTAAACCTCCAGAAACTTGTACAATAAAAGTCAAAACAGTGCATAGCTTATTATTAGCTTATAATTTGTGCACCGCTCGATTGATATATATTCCACATATATTCTACAGTCATATATGTGATCTTCTGCCAAAAAAATTGATAATCATGTGAGTGTAGCGATCAGTTTGTGTAACTCCTTCGTCATTTTTAAAAAGGTACGAGCTGACAACACTTACTTACGAGTATTTACTTGTTTAGCCATAACACTCCGTTTCCGAGTTACGGCCTGACACAACATGTTTTTCAAAGCGCCTCTGCTGTGAGCACGATTTTTCCAGTCTCGTACATCAAGTCCGATTAGTGCTCCCGTAACTTAATCACTCCATCGGAGACGGTTTCTTCTTTATCTATTCTCACGACATGACCAAGCCAGCGGAACCGCTGGATATAAATTCGCTGAATTATATCAATGCCGTGATAAAGCTCGTACAGCTCAAGCTGACCACAAATACCGCAAATATACAGGTTTTTTTTTCTATGGAGGAAATGATCTTTCAAAATTACTACCGTATTCTTATTGCTCTAAGTGAGAAATTTTTATTTGTTGACAGGTCCATTTAACTATAAATGAGCTTCAACAGAAATTTGAAATACGGAACTTGTCTTCATAATTGCAATAAGGTTTTACAATTTTTACATATTTAGCGTATATTAAAGGATTAATTTTGTAAAATGGCAAGCCTAGATCTCAATAAATGTTATGGATTGGATGACAGTTTTGTTTTATATTACTAAAGCAGTGCTGCCAAACCAAGACTATGAAATGAATAATCATGTAATTAACTATTACGTTTGCAACAGAAGGCCTTTTCGGTGGCTCGCAAGTACGGCAAAAAATGCATGTTGGCCAATGTTGGCCACGCGAGTCATTGGCATCACTGTCAAATGTTTTGTTTTGACAAACAGCAAATCTTGTATATGTGCATATAAATCAAATATATTTTTATAAAAATATTATAAAATTAAAATAAACAAGGAATTAAAAGGAATGGTAAGAATATTGGAAATTTAAAAATAAAACACTAAGATAAGTAAATTTTTGTAGGTACTGTCGATGTTGGGAGAAGAAAGCAACGTTTTACTTCTATAAAAAAATTTTTTACGCATGTAAACTACAAATTAAATGATATAAAATAAATGTTACTTGGTAATAACTAACATAAAAAAAAAAATTCAATGTGCTTAATACTTACGATTTCTACATTCTTATTATTTTTTCGTTACTTTTCAAGATTTTTCAAATTTTTGAATTCTGTTTGAATTTTTATTTCCTCAATTTTTGACATTTGATTGCACTATTCGTTGGAATTTTCAATGGAGGTTCACAATAGTTCGCTTATTGCGTTGGTAACATTTTTTTTTTTACTGGCCGAGGTAGAGAAAATAGTGTTGTTGTTTTGTGTACATTGCGGCCAGTATAGGCCTGCATAGCCCAGCAACTTGCTGTTTTTTGCCGTACTTGCGAGCCACCGAAAAGACCTAGAGTTAAGTTACTTAAATTCGATTTATTTAAGAAAGATAAAATCAAAAATATATTTTTTTTGTTGATTAACTTTTTTACTTCATTTATTTTGCAATAAGCTAAATATCGCCAATTATATAAATTTCCTATCTTTTTGTATATCTAATAAATATCCTTGCATTCGATAATTTGTTTATTGGCTTATCAATACAAAAGCAAATAAAAATAAATAAATAAATACGAAAATATTTATGGCGTTTAGATTTCAATACGCACTGGACTTGGTGGCTGCATTGTTCTGGTGACCCTATTCCATTTCTTCACATTAACGAATTTCTTCTGGATGCTTGTCGAGGGTGAGTATACTGCTATTTTCGTCCTTAATTCTACTGCTATTTTCCTATTTGTGTGCACAATTTCACTGTAGCGTATACTTGACATACACTTGTATCTAGCAACAATGTATGGGAACACATAAATTTGTATGCTCTTATTTTGGTTTAGTTGTATTTAGATTTATTTTTTCCTTTTTGCTTTTGCGATTCTTTTTTTTAGTAATTTCCTTTAATGAAATTCAAGCGTAAAATGTAACCAAGAGATTTGTATAACTTAGCCGACAACAAATACTACAATTTTTCCCCAAAAAAAGTACACAGAATGCTTAAATTTGATTTGATTTTTTATGATTTTGTTTATTGTAGTAAAGAATTATTCCATTTGGTCACTGATATGCCGTTTTCTTCTTTCCCTATTTGAACATTGTCTTTACAGGTCTCTACTTATACACTTTAGTGGTGAAGACTTTCTCTAATAATAATATACGCTTTAATATTTATGCCATCATTGGCTGGGGTAAGTTAAAATTATTTACTTAAAGTGTCTCTACTTATTTTTAGTTATTATCGTAGCAAAATGGTTGTGCTTGTTTAATTTACATTTATATTACATGGAAAACTATAAATCAGTGTTTTACGGGATGAAAAACAAACACTTAGTGTTGAAATTAGGTAACCTCAAAAGATAGTTACAAAGGAGTAAGATGAATTATATGACACTAATCGCCCAACCATGACACATTGTCTCGTATAAAATTATGACTCGAAATATGATACTATTGTGAATGTTGCTTGGAAATTAATGCACAGTTTGACTCATTAGTGCTAATTTTTCTTTTGACAAACTCTAATAATAAAGATAAAATCGGTAGTTATGTTTACAAATGACTTTTTGCTATTTCGCAAGTCCATTATCAACAAATCATAAATAAAAACAGAATTTTAGTATTTAATACTATTTGAATACAAAAGGCAAATACAAACGAGAAAAGTATTATTCATTAAAGAAGGGACGAATAGGAAGAATGTTATAACAGATATTGGCAGTTCTGATATTCAAAAAAAAAGGACTACAAATACAATCAAAGAATCCTTCAAAAGAATGAACAATCTACAAAATACACTTATTAAAATACACTTGTTGCAAATTACCTAATTATTTACTACCTTAATTGACACATTAACAGTATTCACACCCTTAAGTAACGAGCTCCGTAAACCTATAACTTAGTAACAATACAAAGCAACAAGAACAAAACACAATTCTGGTAATTGTATTGACTGCTTGCATGCATAAAGTGAAAGGATAATTGATATGACTTCAATTTAGTAGAGCATTTTATAAACAGTGTGATACTTTCAATAGTCGTATTTACAAATTAATATAATAATAAAGCCGGTTAAGCAGCAGCAACAAACTACAAATGTTCCCATTTATATAATGGAAAACACATTATTACTATATTGCAATGCAATATAAACTGTCCTGCTCAAAATTGAGAATACCAGTACAGTAGACGCTCAGAAATTAAAACTGATTTGTTTTTCGGTTTGTTTTAATTTCTATAATGTTCTAATTTCTTTTGTGTTTTTTTTTAATATACATTTTTTATGTTTAATACAATACACAAACAATAAATTTTAGTTTCGGATATAGTAATTCGTGATATCTGTTTTGTTTTCGTTTTAATTTTCAAAGTAACAATATCTTTACATAGGTCCGAAGCTTTCGGGTTGCGACTAATGAAAACAATTTTCGAAATATTCAATGTATGATAAAATCCGGTTCTAACATTCAGACGGTCGAGTTTCCAATTCCAGTGAACAATGACGATACTGAAAACACTGCTAAAAACATCCTATTAAATTGAAATTATAACAATTATGTACTTAATTATTCATTCTTCGAACGCGATTTTAGTGCCATATATAAATTGCATTAAAATAATATTAGGCAAAGTTTTCATAAAATGTTTCAAAATTTGCAAAAATCCAATATTTTTAATTATATTAAGATAATACTATTTAAACTTTTCATTACAGTACAATTTAAATACATTAAATACATAGAATAGATCTTTACTATTATTATTATTATTATTATTATTATTATTTTTATTATTATTATTAGATGTGGCACATTTTAAACCATTACTGAATTAGATAGAATATTAAATATATATACTCGTTATTGTGATAACTTCGATAAAGGGATGTACCGTAATATTTTATAACCATACTTATTAAAACGTATTCCTCAAAAACAATTTTAATTAGGAAATTTCTATCTATATATATATTCCAATCCAATGGAAGTGCAATTAAACAGCATTTTTGTGTTATTAAGAAACTCTGAAAAAAACTGTATAATAACAATTACTAAAGATATTATACATTAAAACGACATAATAAAATTCATATGAAGTACGAAATCAATTCTGAATTCCGCTCATATATGGATATACAAATTATTTTCTTTTAAAATTCATTAAATATCAAAATTAATTCTTTGAACCAAGAAATATTTATTGAATTACAGTTAATTATCTTCAATCTTGAAATTATTTATTAAAATATTCAGAAAACCAAAGATAATTCTTTATCATTGCTTGTTGAGTTTATTTTTAACAAATTAAATGTTTAAGTAACATGATAGAGACTCACTTTTTACAGTGGCCCTCTTATAACAAAACTAGATCTTGGGAACTCATTAAAAGCAAGTCTTTAGTGTATAAGTACCCACATAGAAAAACTGGGAATTCCTTTTAATACTCATTACAGCACTTGTGAAAATTCGCAAGAAACTATTAAACATTTTCTAAAGGCCCGGCTATGGCCTTTAGAAAAAATAGATTTTTAGAGTACTTTTTTGGCTTATTAAATTTTTTTAATTCAACGGGTTGTACTTATTCTGTTTTTTATGATAAAGGTTTCTTGAAATGAATGTGTTAGCAAACTACCGAAAAACCTCTAATTGAATTGAAACAAAACAACATTATTTTACAGTTTTAGTTAGTTTGACATGTCTGTTTATTGGTGATTCTCGTTTTATACGTTAACACAAAGAGCAAACAGTCTTAAGTGGATACTTAAATTTACGATTAAAAAATATATAATCTGTTCTTATTAAGTTCATAATTTGTAATGTTTTGCTTGTTTTGAACAACAGAAACCTATGTTAAATATAACAAATGAAAGAAACAATTTTGTGAAACATTTAGTTATAAGGTAACAAAAAAAAACATTTTCAGCAAGACTGTCTTATAATAGAATATTTCCATTTGTAAATATAGTTAATATGCTTGTTCTTTACATTGTCAAAGCATCCACACTACTAACGAGAATGACCTGTGCTAACAAAACGCATCCTTATTTAACATCAAAGTATTTGTGAACTTAACTAAGGTAGAAATTGCAAAAGTATATACACACAGGGACAACAACAATTAAATAACAAATAATGTATAACGACAATAACTGAGATACGAATAACAAGCACAATTCTTGCTACAATAATAACAACAACAATTACTTAATGCAAGACCTAAGTATACAATTAACGCTTGTTCCATTATTGCCCACAAACAACAGGCGGGCCAGCAATTTTCGTTGTCGTTTGGACAATTGCCAAGGGTCTGACAATGACATACCCCACTAAGCAGGTACGTATCTACTTACAATTGTTTATATATAATGTATTTTGTTTTATTTTATTTTCTCCTACTTGATTATCTCATACAGCAGAGCTTTACAGCAGAACAGGTGTGCTTGCATCTGTCTATCTGATGAGCTTATGTATGAGACTATCGGTGTATACGAGTATGCACAGTGGGCAGCAGTTACGACAAATCCTGCAGTAATACAACAATACCAAACAGCTGACATATGCTTTGAAGCATAAAAAGTTGTTATTGTGCAGGATTTTCGTTTATTAAATTTATTTTTATTTTTATGTTATTTAGTTTTTTATTTCTTTTTTTTTTT